ATATATATAAATTGATGCAAATCAATGGAGGATAGTTATTCATGTGTCACTATTATATTATTTTAAAGGAGACAAAATAAAAAAAATAATAATAATATATAATATAAATATTCAATTCAACCCCATCCAATATAGTTTTTTAGCCATTTTGGCTTCAAAGTATATTTGGGCTTTCCGAAACCCATCCTATATCGGCACAACTTCATTTTACAATCCAGTTTAGTAGAAATCTCATATCAATTAATAATATTAATTACAAAAATAGTATATATATATATATATATATATATATAAAAGTGGGAAAGAATTCTTACCTTATAAAATAGTTTTGTGAGGTTGGTTAAGCCTAAACCCACATTTTCAATTATTGTAGTGTATATAAGTAGTATAGGATGTTATTTCCTTGTATTTTCATCTTTGGGGTGTAACTAATAGTTTAGGGGTGTAACTAATATGAAGAAAATATAACTAAATGGGCTTATGGATTTGGTTCCTATTCATATGAATTGGATGTCCACATGTTGTTATTTTACACTTTACCATATCTATACAAATCTATTTAGTCACATGTTCCACATACTAGTCATACTATTCACACTATAGGTTCTTTTAGATATCTAAGTCACATAGGAGCATGTAGCACATGGCACATGGTGGACATTAGACACCTATATTTGAATTTGAAATTCAAATATGGCACGCCACTTTACCTTAGTTATCAAACCTTGGTTCATTTCTAGACCTTGGTTTGCTTAGCCTTGTTCCCTAAGTTCAACTAGTCTGTATATAAAACCGTCTTGTATGTACATGCCACTTTTGGGCATTTAAGTAAAAATCTGGTGTGGTTCTCCCTTCAAAAGTCTTAAATTTTTTTCTAGAGAAGTGTGACTCCTAAGTTCTCTTATCAAGGAACTCCTCCTTGTGACAAAAACATCACTTTTTGGCTCATCTTTTCCTTGAAGAGTGGTTCAACCTTCTCCATCATTTTGTCTTCCATTTGAAGATTTCATTTAAAGTTTTGGTGCCATGGATGAAGATCAAAGGATGTAGCATGCAAGTGGAGTAATTTTTCCAATATTGCTCACCTTGTTTCCCTCACTACCCATAGATGTATAGCCCTACAAACTTCTTTACATTTGACATGTTCAGCATTATGGTCAAAAGAGAGTATTTACATGGGGAAAAGTAGTTTTGAGGGTTAAGTCAATCGACACACTTAAGAGTACTATCCACAATAGTCACTAACTCGTGCACCATTATTTCCCCACTCTATACGCCACAACACTATTAGTCAAAGTTTAAAACTCGAACAACTAATCAACTAATCAACACACACACACACACACACACAATCCACAATAGTCATTAACTCGTGCACCATTATTTCCCCACTCTATACGCCCCCCCCCCCCCAAACATTTGGGGCCCCCGCCCCCCCAAACACACA